GGTTGTATTTATTCCTGCAGTACCTGATACGGTTAAAAAAACGATTCGCTTATGCGAAAACCGATTCGGTAAACCACATCGTGTGAAAGAAACAATTCATATATCAGAAACCGCATACGATTTACGGAATCGGCGTATCTAATCAAAAAAAGTATTAATTTGGACACATGTACGTTTTTTTTTTAAGGATACGAAAACCGATTCGGTAAAACCGGTTGTCAAACGGCATGGCACATACAAAATCCTGCCATGACTTCACTCTTAACGCATCCTTCGCATCATAGGTTTAGCAGTAAGAAAACCACGAGATTCACTATATGCAAAAAACTATACGAGTCTATAATAATCATAACGAAGATGCCGTTGCTGCGTAAAAGAAAGACGAACAAATTAACCAACAGACAGTTTCGCGTTTATTATATCAAATAAGCAAACAATAATTAATATTAAAGTTTAACTGAACACTTACACAGATTTAAGAGTACAAGATCCGATACCATGGAAATACTTATATGTATCTAACTAATAAAATAACGAAGTCAATAAAGTGAATCCATACAAACATGATACCACTTTGTATTGAATTGTTGAAAAGCAAGTATCTACCTACCTAATTTATTAATAGTGGAATAGAGAAGCCATTAAAGATGTGAATGTCCTTATTTCTTAACAGAACATTCACATTTTTAATCTACTTATTCTTGTTTTACTTTAGTTCTAAATAAATAAATTATTAATATCACATGTATATTTTTTTATTATATCCAATTAAAAAAAAAACCACTGAAATGCCTATAATATGTACTTCATTTACAAATAAAAATAAAATTTTTATTAAAATATACCAAAATTCTCATTCATTCCATTGTAGAAAAATACGCAATGAATGCCCTGCAAGTCTTTTCAACCGACTTCATCAAAAAGAAGGAGATTCCCAATACAGCTGTATTTTTTTCTTTTTTTTTTTGTGTTTGTTACCTCAGAACTCCGTCATTTAATAACAGATTTGGACAATTTTTTTTAATAGCTAAGCTTGAGTATAAGCTGACCAAAGTAGCTGCCTTCAGCTATAAGACTAGAAGATTTAATCAAGTGGTCCTCTGAAGTTTATTCTTTATAAAAGACTCAAGTTTCCTAATGAATCCTCTGTAAATGACTTATGGAACCTGCTATTTAAATAGGTATATAGGTCACGATATTAATAAATAAATAAAATTGAATCATCTGACTGTGATTCCTTTTGGAATTCCTATTGGAATCACAGTCAGGCGTCACCATCTTGCAAATAACCATAATATTGATTATTTAGCTCATAATTATATTTTACACGATTGATGAATATACGAGTATACTTTTTAACATTACAACAAAGGACACTAAGCTGTTGGTAAAAAAATTTGCAATACAACATAAAGATAATATATAATAGCAAGTCGTTAACGATATATTATTAATGCTAAGATCTTAGATTTTTATATGAAACCATTTATATAATTTAAGACTATGACATCGAAGATCAAAGTACGATAGATGTAATCTAACAATTAAAAAAAAATATTTACAAAAATAAAAAACCCGACTACGTAGGTAAAAAGCGAACTAAAAAGATGAGAAAATGTACATATGTACATTTCATATGTAAAAACCCTATATTTTTATACCCCACTCAATTAGTTTTGACTTTTGAGGAAAAAAAATTGAAGACATCTACCTACGGCGTCAAAAATCGGCCATTTTAGTTTTTACCCGACTACACGACGCGACGTAAAGGAGGGTAATGTGTTTATCAGCCTATGTATGTACATACATATGTATGTGGGTTTGTATATATATAAATAAATTGTATATATATAGATAAATTTGACACGTCGTTTAATTTGTCATGACGGCGCGAATGTAATAACAGTTTAAGATATATATAATGAATTAAAGTTGTTTAACAACCATTCTCGCTAATTTTCCTATTTAAAAATACTTAAAAAGCTGTAAATACATAAATGTATTATAAAAATAAAAAACCCGACTGCACAAAAGCTAACTAAAAAGATGAAAATAAGTTCACGAAGGAATATAGTATTATGCAGTCGGAGACTACTCATCTCATCCTCCATCATACTGCATGTACATCTCGCGGCAAGGAAGAAACGATAAGTGACATTTTGCATTTATAATACTTACTAGCATTGCCCGCGGCTTCGCCCGCGTTCAGATGACCAGCTATAATCATACCAAATTTCATCAAAATCCCTCCAGTGGTTTTTCTGTGATGCGGTAGCAGACAGACAGACAGACAAACAAAAATTCTATTATATATTTAATAAGATTTTCCAAAAAATATTTAATGTACAGATTCGGCTTCGTTACAATTTTATTATATGTATAGATTAAGATGCTTGTAAGATGTAGGTATGCTTATATACTTATTACTTAGGTAAAAATAAATGGTCATTGTAAGTTACTTTCTGTATCTTGTAAACGATTAAGGCGAGAGCAACCGCTTCTGCAGCCCTATTATAAATATTACGTAGATATTCTAAATTTCCTTTTTTTTTGTGAAATTAATGAACCCCAAAAATTGTCTAACTATGATATAAGTGGGTTTTTTATAAAATTAACACACAATCAGATGTTTTTTTTAACACAGTTTTTAAAGTATATAAACGACGAAATAAAATTAATCAATATACAGACATCACTACTTGATTTTATACAAGTATGTTTACAATTTATTCATAGCGAAAATTATATTAAATAAGAAATAATAATTCAACAATCTTCTTAAAGTTAAATGCGCTAAAAATAAAATTGTTAGTTTATAGTTTTTTATTAATTTTTATGTATGTACATAATATTATATTGTGTTTATTATTTTACCTTGAAACAACAAAAAAGCGCTATGTTTCTTCATTGTTTCCTTTTGGTTGCAAATAATAAATTAAATCATTTTCATACTTAGGTAATTAAAGCCCAAGAAAAGCGTAGCCTTAAATTAGCTCCCTTTTGCTTGCACTTGAATGTGTCCATATCGTGGTGGGGGGCTCTGTAGCATCCGGTAATATAGCCTGAGTAAATTCAAGAGACGCCCTGGGAGGTCCTTTCTCTTGTTACTTCTATGATAGCAGAGTGGACCGTGAGAACAACTTTCGGGTTCTTGTGTAGAACGGAAGGTCGGCCTCCGCAGGCCAGTCATCAGAGAATTATGGTTGCGTGCGTAAGTTAACCTACGGCACCCCGTTAAGACGGGAAGGTTTCTTTTGGCTTTAGTTGGTGTTACTAGCTTTTCTATCAGACGAATCTGTACATAACTAGTTGTAAGCAGCATGAGTAAATGCATTTTCCAAAGTTAAAAAATTGTATTCGCAATACATATTATATATATTATAATATGTATGTTACAATACAATTTATTCTCTACTTCATTCAGATTTCTCACTTTAGGTCTCTTTTTTTACTATAATCCCAATACTGAAATTTCGTTTGCTCATTTTCTTCACAAACATGTTTTGCAAATTAATGATTGCAGCATCTTTCAATATAAACAAGTACATGACGTTTGTGGGTGTGTCGCTCTCATATCACACCCGATATGCAAAACGACATAATATTATTATAACTTTATAGTTCAAAAGATAAACAATTTTTTTAAAGAATTAGTATTTCGTTATATTGCTTTTGTTTACGACAAAAAAAAATTATACATAAATATAATATTCTAATTTGACAAATAGGTAGTCGTTTTGAACTGTAAACTAATTTATAATTTAAAGTTATAAACATTCGTGTAATTAGCAAAGCCAATTTTTCCAACAACATTCCTAAAATCCATAAAACAAAGAAATAAATTAATTATTAAACTATGCATACCTTAATAAATCTATTTACATACAATGAAAACGTCAATGTTATTCATGATCTTTCACCTTATTTACTAAAAGAAAGCTTTTTACCTATATGATTGAAATCGATTTTGTTTAGAATGCTCTACATAGGACGTCCTTTTTTCTCTGTTATTTATATAATATTTCTTACTCATAACATCAAAAAATAGCATAATGTACATAGGTATATACAAAACATAAGGATTTTAAAATTAACATTAATAATTTTATATATATTTATTACATGTTCTTCGATTTATAAAATAGTAATTAGTAATTACATAGTATCTAATATTTCTTTGCAGTAAAACCCTCAATGAGAATCTACATGGAGTTTTAAAAGGAAAAAAGAGGTTGTATTAATCATGTTAATCCCATAACATGATTAATACGACCTCCTCTTTCCTTCTTTTTTCAACAAACATCCATAGCTTGGTTTTCCTACTTTAGTATCTATTAACGTATTTGTCTTTTCAATTTCATACATATCTATCTACTATTTTATCTCACAAGAACCTGTTTTATAAAGATCAAAGACATTACAAAATTATTATTTCATGATAAAATACAAAAAAAAACCATTTAAAATTTTCAATATAATAATTTTTGAATTAAGATACTAGTTTTGAAAAACGGCGCGCAAGTCAAATTTGAAATAAACCAATAGGAAAACGGAACGCATCACGCAGCCAATCCCTGAGCCGCAATGTGGTGTGACTTCAGTGGGACGCGCCGGGCCAGAATCGTCAAACTGAAGATTATTTAATGTTACTGAAACAAACTTAAAAAAAATACAATTACAATATACTAATGCGATGTTGTTTGTGTGCGTACATTACTTACATCAATCAATATAATAATTATTCATTTCTTTACACATTCAATAGCATAGCGATAAAATATATTCACAGTTTGTTTCCCCCGCATCGTACGATCCAGTCATATAAAAACGCTAGCGCGCTCCCCACTTCTTACCAAACGTCAAACTTTAGTTCTTGCGTGCGGTCGTTTCTAGTGCTCTGTGATAGCGTTCGTGGCGTTTCGTAAGCTCGTCAATTTTAGTGACAATAATTAAAGCGTGTGTGATTAGTGATATTTAAATCGTTTTAAAAATACGTGAAGATGTCTTTCAACACTGATATATCGTCTAAATTGGAGAACAGCAGGTAAGACTAATTCATATGTAATGGCCGATGGTTCGACACCAACGGTCATTTGTAGCTCCAAGCTCCCAAGCTTTCCCCTTGCTTTTATAGATGAATGATGAATAGATTATAAGTTTAAATTAAATAGTAAAGAAACAATAATAAGTCGGATGAAATTAGTACATATTTTATTTAACATTCCTTTCACAATGACATAGAACATGTCTTGAATGATGAAATCTAAGCATCATCTTGAATGGCGTCACTTTTAACATAGATTTTGTTCATTCTCTTAGCTGCAAATCCGTCATTTAGATTAACCCACATTTAGAATAGACCCTAATAGAGGGCGTGTGCGGTGATTGAGTCACGATGCTAAATGTTAATACTTTCAATAGACATCTGATATACAATATACATTATCCTCATTTATTGTAACAAATAAGTTAAATCTAGTTTCATTTTTATTGCAACTATGAAACGAAAAAATAACCTTCAAAGTTATGTAATGTAATCATTTGCTTACTACAATGTACATTTTTTATTGCAATTTTAAAGTTCACTCTTGTTGTAATTATCATACAATTTAAAGTTGAAAAATACATTGTCATATGCAATAACTTCATTATATTGGAGCATTATTACTTGACCTAAAAACATTTATAATTGTGTCCTTGTACAGAATCTTTTTTTTTATAATTTAAAAGAAATCTCATCAATGCCACACAATCTTGTCTTTGGTATTTTAAATACAATGGTATTCAATTAAATGAATATGAGCTATGATTATTGTTAATGCAAATTTTATAGACAATATTGTTGGTGAAGGGATATAAAATTTTGTTTTATGATTTATAAATTATAAGAAAAGATTAGTTTTGGAACTAACCTATTACAGTTGAAATTTATCGTACTTTCTGAGCACTTTAAAAAATACCTGTGCCTTAATATAATACATACAAGCAAAACAAAATGTAATAAGCATTATGTATATTAATTCTCTAAAGCGAAGACTAATAAACTAAAGTCAAACGTTTAAAAGCTTAGAGAAGCTTTGTATATAAAAAATGTGTGATAGGATAAAGATTGAAAGTGCTAATTCAGACACATGGGAGGTAAAATAAATCTTAGATTGTATTCCCTATTGCATGTTAGTACAGCCACATTAATTTTTTACTTCAAAATTGAAATGAATTAGCTTACACAATTTTGAAATAGTTTTTAGTATTTGTCCCAGTTCATATAAACAAATTATCTATAAACTTTAACCCATATCTTCTTAAAAATCTAGAACTTACTTCTTACAATCAATTCCCAATATTACATTATAGTGGATTTCATATTGTTCAATAAATAAGAGATACAAACTCATAAAGTGATGTCACTATAGGGTAATGATTGTCCTATTACTGTAATGATGACTTAATCAAGTCATAGATTATGAATTATTGTTATAATCATTGTTGAGTTTCCATAGATTATAATAGATCATTTATAATGATTTTTCTTTAAATTATTTACTTTTCCTTGTTACAGGAACAGTTTAAAGAAAATTGCCAGAAATGACAACACAGAATTTTCTAAACAGAGCATTTTGAATGATATGGAGAAGTTCGTCAAGACTGTGACTACTATGGATGAGACCGTATTGGTACCCAGTCGTTTGATGAACCTGCCTCAGGAGGGGGATGATGACCCATTTAGCCTATTTGCTATGCTGAATGATTTGAAGACTGAATTGCTGTGGGCAGGGGATGTTGAAGAACAGGTTGTGTGTGGGAGGCGCATATCTGATATTAGTGATAGTGAGAGTGACGCATCAAGTGCGGCTGGTGATTCCGGTATTGAAGGTGAAGACGAAAGAGAGTCGGCAGCTCGTGCTGCCGCTGCATGTCGACGCCATTTACGAGGGTTAAGGCATTGTCTTCGCACACTGACAGCTGCTGCTTCTCACCTCACGAGATCCTACCAAGAAGAGGTTGGAGCTCCCGTATAAAGCTTATTCTTACCTGTGATTGAAGCCTCTCCTGCACGTTTGTACATATAGATTAAGTGGCCCGCACTGTATATATAGGGTATAGGGCTAGGCGTGTGTGGAATCTCAGTAAGTTATGTGGTTATTTAATAAACTTAATTTTCATTATTTCTTTAGTTTTATTTCAGTTTAAACTTTATTTTTTATAATAACAAAGTTGATATTTAGCAGCCAATTTTTCTGCAAACTGTTTTAATAACATCTTAGATAAAATTAAACCATTTATTATTTAGTAATGATCTTTCAAATGAAACAATCGCCTATAGATGCCTTGATCATGTCACCATATGTTTTTTTTTGTCAAGTTGACTAATAAGAATTTATTAATGGCAAATAAATAATTCAAACCTATTGAGTCAAGCATTATTTTACCCAGGCTTTTGTTTTAACTATTTGAAGCCTCCTGAATAGTTTAACTTAAATAATCCCATATTCTGGAACACATTAAAATATTAAATTTAGCTTATTTATTTCTATACATTGGGAGGTTAACATAATTGTCTACAGTACAATTTTTAGAACTCTACAAGTATTACTATGAGTCCATCTGTCAGAGGGCAGTAACTCATGCACTGTAACAGGTAAAGAGTTTAAATTTTCACACAATATGTATTTCTATGGCCGCTATAACAAGAAATAATATAATAAAAGAAACAATTTTTTAATGTTCCTAATCGATCATCGAAGTTAATATACTACATACATAGAGTAATAACTAAATTAAAAACTTATAAAACCCCCGACTATCTTGGACCGATTTTCATCAAACATAGCTAAAAACACTCCCGACTAATTCACCTTTCAAACAAAGAAAACAATCAAAACGGGATCAAATCGGGAGCTACGATGCCACAAACAGACACGTCAAATTTATAACACCCCGTCGCGTCGTTTTTGCGTCGGGGGTTAAAAAAAATCATTAATAAAAAGTACATGTACGATGGTGGAACCCTTCTTGTGCGAATTTAACTCGCACTTGATCGATTTTTATTTAACTTGCGTGCTTTTATTACACTACTCATTGAGAGCGACAAAATATAAAGCACAGGCCAACATTAAGCCAACCAACCTATGCACCAAATTATAATTTTAAAATGTTGGAATATTAATTAAGTGATAGCTAATAGGTATATACATGTAATGAAAAGTCATTAAATATAATGACATAATTAAGAAAAGGAATGTAAATGCCAAATAAGCGTATGAACCATTTGGAATATAAAATAATATTACATATCTGATAAACTGGTCAACTTATTTTAGTTTCTAATAAGGACAGCTAGCTACATTTAGAACTTTTTTGATACTACCTCACTTCGCTCAAGACTTCCTAGTTCAATATTTTTTTGCTAACAACGTGGCGAACTGTGTTTTGTCATGGATCAAAACATTTTTTGTAAAACCACAGACGAGCTGTCGAAACGAAATTCACGAAAATATATTTTATGTTTTTGAGCCATTATTTTGTGATAGAGTATAAAAAATTATAAAAGTCATCATTTACCATTTGATGTTGAACTTTAACCTCGAATAACTTTTAAACAAGTCTACTAAGCAAAAAATCATAATATCAGATCTTTTTTGTAGATCGTGTAATTCCCTACGAGAATATTGTTTTTAATTTGACTAGACAATAATTTTAAAACTACCAGAATTTTTTTTCGTCATCTTAGACGATATTTTCATGGTAACTAAAGTAAAAAAATATTTACAATGTCGCTAGGCTGAACATCTTATTTCATAACCCTTATACCTATAACGCGTCCCACCATGACCAAGTAGCATGCTCTATAAACCCTAGGTTATGTAATATCTAATGCTCAAAAAGCATGTATGATCAATACTAATAATAGTTAAACACTATATAATCCTGTATTGCGGACAAAGTTCGAAGTTTCAATGAAAAATATTCTCTTTGTTCATAATAAGAATATGCCTCGTGTCATGCCTCTCTGTCTGGTATCGATTTAATTTATAACAAGTGTGACCGTGAACTAACTCTGCAGAAGTTGCGATTCTAGAAATACTGGGCTAATGGAATTCTGCTACCTAAACCTACTGGTTTGTAAGCATTTTGTTTATTAATACATGTAAATACATATGCATATATGCATTTAAAAAGCATATATAAACAATATAGGTATTTTGGCTGATGTTAGATATTTAATAATTAATAAGCTATACTTAATATTATAAACATAAAAGAGGTAAAGTTTGTGACGTTGTAGGGGGGGTACGCTCTGGACCTACTGAACCAATTTAAAATGAAATTTTGTAAGAAGATTGCGATTTTGAGACCTGGGAAAGACATAGGACTTAACTTTTTATCCCAGATATCATCCTTTAAGGGGATGAAAAGGCAGATGAAAGTTTATATGGGGAATCCGAGCGAAGTGAGGATGAGTCGCTAGTATTTAATAATTAATAGAAGTATCAAGTAACCAAAAAAAACAATACATATACAATTAGATTTTTTATCTGTTGTGCGTTACTGGATAAGCTTTACGGATTGTAATGATGAATTTTAATGTAGAAATAATAAAATGTAATTAGGTAGTTTTAATTAAACTACTTAATACTTATCGGTCAAGCAGATCCAAAGATTTACAGATGTAGAATTAATTAGCGAAATCTGTACATGAAATATTTCTTTAAAACAATTATTTTATTGAAATTTTTGTGTTTGTCTGTATATCTGTGTGTGTAGTAAATAAATTTTGTGTAGTGTCTTTACGTTACTCGGGTTTACATTTAGGATACCTTTTACCACAGGAAAATCTTTCATTCCAACGGGAAAACATAATAGGTAACTTATTCTGTTGAGTCTACGCTAACGCTGGCTAAATCTTGAGAGATGCATCAAAACAATGTATTAGAAAATTGTAGTTATTAAAAAGGCCTACACAAAAGTCTGTAATAGCATAATATGTCTATCTTCTAAGGTGCACTTGCAATAACTATTTTTATTTATTTAAAACTTACATTAGCTAGGGGGCACCCGCGTAAAGCGAGAGTTAGTCGCTAGTCCATACTAATATTATAAACAATTAAAGTTTGTGAATTGTGAGTTTATGACGTGTAGGGGGTTTTTCATCCTGGAAATCATCCCTTAAGAGGGTGAAAATGGGGATAAAAATTTGTATGGAGAATAAACTTAGGGAGGAACCCGAGCGAAGGGAGGGTGAGTCGTTAGTAATTGTAATAAAAATATAGAATTTTTTAAATTATGATTAACCTTGGGATACTGACATGCTGTTGTCGGGTCGTAAATGATGATTATTATGACGTCTCTGAAACATAAGTTAGTAGGGTAGTAAATTAATTGCTAATATATATTATTTTACATATTTCTTTCAAATACAAACGTTAAAAATATTGTATGTAGCCGAACCGAGAGCTGATGTAATCTTAAGCTTATAGGAATGCTGACCATAGCGTGAGATACTCGACGTTTTTATTTATTGAATTTAATTAATTCAATAAATAAAACGTGAATATCTGATATAGTGGCAAGAATACTGATTGCAATTTCCTGCGTAATATAAACATCTGTTAGTTCCCATAGTCTCATATCACCACACAGTTCCTTATGAACCAGAGGGTCTGTTGGGTAGTAATTAAAAACTAGGAGTTTTATTACGCGAGTACGACTCACATTTTGTCAGTTATTATTATATTTTAATTTTTACTTTAGAGTTCGTATAATAGTTATACCAAGTGTGACGCTTGTACAAAACGTAAAATACGCTATTTTATCGATTTGGGAAAACTCGTTTTTTACATATATTGGTAAGGATATCTACTATTATATAACTGCTATCTGTTATGGTTCAAAAACCTTTATAAGTAGAATAATAGTGTTTATTACGTGCGTTCACCTTGTTTGGGGGGAAAGGGGGTTCGGGGACTTAGCGTCCGGCACTTCAGCAGGGCGCGAAGCCAAGAAACGCACTGGGAGGTGACCCACGTCGATGGACAGTGTACTATGCGGCTTACTCCTGGTATTTGTCTGACAGAAGAGCGAACCGTTGGAGCAATCCCATGGTTGTTGTGGTGTACTTCGCAGACCTGCCGTCGGGGCGTCGTGGTTGAGTGCGTAAGCGATCCTGCGACGCCCCATTAAGACGGGGGAGGTTCAATTCGGTTTTAGTTTTAGTCTATCCGATCCGAGTCTGACATAACCACCTGTATGTATTGCAGATGGTACGAGTATATCTAAAATCTAAATGCATTTCCCAACGTTAAGAAAAAAGGTAAGGTAAGGACTTTCGAGAAGACTTTTAGGGTTTGGAATCCTTAAATTACCTATATCAACAATGCATTCTATATACAATCATCTGACTGTTTTACTCTATCATTTGACTTGTTCTTTTCCTTTCCATGCGAAGACGCATGGAGGATGATGGATTTTGAATATACATCACAGTGAAAGCAAAGTACAACCTTCTATCTAAATATATTATATAACCAAATATTTTGATACAAAGTAAATGAAAATAATACATTTTCATAGATATAAATAATGACACTAATTTCATTCATTTTTTCTTCCATTTTCTAACTTCAGCTGTAATTTAAACATATAGAACGGTAATAGTTAAAATCAAAAAAAAAATTTCGTCGTTGCATCCTCTTTTAATTTCTTTATATATATAATTCTTCTGTGAGTGTGTATGTCACTGAACTTCTCTCAAACGACTGGACCGATTTTGATGAAATTTTTTGTGTGTGTTCAAGGGGATCTGGGAATGGTTTAGATTCACAATTTTAATAATAATTTTCATCAAAAAAATTATTAAAAAAAGTTTGAAATTTTCAAATTAAAGACGTGTAGACAGGACAACGTCTGTCGGGTCCGCTAGTTATATATATAAAGATGTAGGTACTGTTGTTATTAAAACACATTAATGATAACTTTAAAAGTTTAAAACATTAAAGAGTCTAATTAAGTGGCTTTG